TACGGTGCTAAGAGCTCCCACACAGCATTTATAGTGTTGAAATTGGCTGCCTTGGCCTGGGAGCATGACTTGGTTGTTTAAAGTGATTGCGCAAGCATGAGAAACTGAATTTATATCCCGTGTGTGTGTGTGTGTGTGTGTGTGTGTGTGTGTGTGTGTGTGTGTGTAGAAATCCAGGTGTGGTGCATACCTGTAATCCTACCACTGGGGAGACTGGGGCAGGGGGATCCCTGGGACTTGCCGGCCAGACAGTGCAGCTAAATCAGTGAGCTCCAGGGATTAGTGGGCAACCCTCTCCGAAAATAAGGCAGAGAGCAACTGAGAAAGACACCCAAAGATGACTTCTGCCCCCGACAGCCCCCCCCCAACATACACACACAATGACTTCTTTATGCTGCCCAGGTAGCATGCCCAGGTGTCTATTGGGCACCTCTGCACCATAGCCTGCCCCTCTCCCAACCTGCCGGATACTGATGCAGAGGTCCAGGGCGGGAAGTGATATGGCACTGGTGGTATACAGCCCAGGAGTCTACAAATGAGTCTCCTTCTCTACTGCTGCAGTGTGGTGTCTCGCGGTTAATTCAGAAGGCTTTGACAAGAGTGGAAAACTCTAATCCCAAATGAAAACAGGACAGTTTCCTACTTGTACACCCTCTGTATTACTTTTCTCCTTGTTGTGACAAAAACAAATTAGTTTTGGCGCATGGCTTGAGGGTCCAGCTCCATCATGGTGAGGAAGTCATGGTAGCAGAGCCGGACACAGCTGGTCACAGTGCATCACAAGTCAGGATGCAGAGAGACGTCCTGAGAGAGGCAAACGCTGCTGCTCAGCTTCTCCTCTATTCATTTCAGGATCCCTGGCAAAGGGATGGTGCCAGCCACAGTCAGGGTGGGTCTTCCCACAATAACTAATCCATCCTAGAAACCTCCTCACCCACATCCCTAGAGGTTCACCTCCTAAGTGATTCCAGATGCTGGCAAGATAACCATCAGTATTTACACGCCCTTCGATCTGATTGTCTCCCCTGGGGCAGAGCTCAGCCTGTTCTTGGCAGTGTAAAGACAGGGAAAACCTCTTCCTTAAGTTAAGAGCCCCCAGCAAGCATGGAGACAGAGCTAAGAGTGAATTCAGCGTATCAGAAAGAAGGCAAAGCAAAGAGCAAGGTTCCCTAGTAAAGGGGGAATAGGAGGGCATGACCAAAATACACTGAATACGTGCGTAAAGAAATAAATATTAAAAAAGAAGAAGAAGGCTACCCAAGATCAAGGTTGGGGACTTCTGAATCAAGTCCAGCTCCCACCTGGATTCAACAGCACTCTTGGTAGGTTCCAGCCTTGGCTTTCCTAGACACCAAGTGGCCTGCTGCTTTGAATTCTCAAGCCTGGTCATCCTGTTATAACACTTGACTCTGGACAAAGTGATTTTAGTGGGGAAGAGCACCTTGGAACCCTTTCAACCAGTTGATGAAGTGGAGATGGCAAGGTCTCTCTCACACACACACACACACACACACACACACACACACACACACACACACACCTGCCCTTCTGTGGCCGCAGGCACTCTGTCAGCTCTTCCAGCTCCATTCCTCAGCCTTAGGTATTCCCAGGAGGGATAGGCCCACAGTCTAGGAAACTCAAAATAGTCGTCGTCCTGGGACCCTGACCCTGAATCAGTGCTCATCTCCAACTGCCCCTACAGAAACTCTGTAGGCATGGCGGCGAAGGTTCAGAAAGTTCAGAAGCTTGCCCTTTTCCTATCTGGCAGTCTTGGACCTGCCTCTAGGGTCTTCAGAGCCTGCACAGTTATGTGGGGACAGCACTGTTCCCATGGTGGGAACAGAGGAGTATGGAGTACCCCCAGCGCAGAGTCCCCCGATGGGATTGGCGGGTCTCCTCCAGCTAGGGTCTAGAGAGAGACGTGATGCTGCTCAAGCTTTCCCCTTTTCCTCCCCTTTACAGAGAGGTGGCCTGGCACCTGCTGGCGTGGCAGACCACCCTCCTCTCTGGGTATCCCAAAGGCGTTCTCCAATGTACACACACTCTCCCCCATAGCCATTTCCTCCGTCCTGTTCAGCCCCTTACTCTCCTGTGGCCCTGAGCCAGTCACTTCCATTGTCCTGGCCTTCGGTTTCCAACCCTGGCCTGCTAGAAACTGAAGGCTGTTAGCAAGGAATTTTCCTTGTGTATCCCTGCGGGACACATTCAGGACAGGCTGGCCTGGATGAACGAGCGGCGCGCGCCCTCTAATGTCCGGTCCCCGCCTTTGCACTGTCTTCCTGCCTGGAGTGAGAAGGAAAAGGGAGAAAACAGCTCTACAATCTTCGAGTTTGAGAGCTGATCATCAGAATCAATAGGAAAAAGACCGAATAGTGAACTTCAAAGTGAAGGAGTGACGGGTTAGCATAGTGAGTACGTTAACGCATGCTCGAACCGGCACTGAAATGAACGCAAGCACAGATAAAGTGCTTGCCCAGTGAACATAGGCACCTGAGTTTGATTCCCGGGCAACATTGGTCTGTGATCCAGCACTGAGGGGATGGAGGGAGAAAGATCCTGGGGATTGCTAGCAGCCAGTAAAGCACAACCGGTTAGTCCAGGTTCAACGAGAGAGTCTGACCCCCCAAAATAAGGAAGACATCTAACATTGGCCTCTAGCCTCTACACACACATATCCAGGCAAACACGTATGTAGACACATGCAATGATCAGTATACAGAACTCAGCTGACACAATGTACACACAGCTCAGTGAGTATTCATAGAATAAATGTATGAGAGACGGATGAATAAATTACTCTGTTTTGGGACAAGCTGCCTTCCACTACTCTGGTCCCCTGCCTTGGATGTTGAACCATGGGAGCTTGTGAGGTGTTATCTGCCCTGGATGTCACAGCTCTGTGTTGCTCATGGCTCTCCGTGAGCCTCACTGAATCAATAGAACAGTCTCAGGATGGATGGATGTCTCCAGCCATGCAGAGGATTCTCCTATAGACATGTGCTTTGCTACACTTCACCCAGACGTTGCCATAAATTTATGCTAGTTGACTTCATTAAGGCCCAAGCTTGCTGGGGACATTAAAAGTGGGGACTGAAAGAGGTGTGTGACAGGACAAGGCAGTGCAGAGGTCCCTCCATCCTGTATTCTTGTTGAGGCCATTTCAGGTTTAGCTAGAATTCAGTCTCCATGGAGAATCTCATGGGAAATTGCCCAGCTCCATTCTAGGAAACCAAGGTCAAGATGGCCCAGGTAACTTATCTCAGCTTCTGTTAAACTGCTTGCATGTGTAAAACCTCTTCTAGCAGCTGCAAGACAGCAGGATATGATCTTTTTCCTTTAAAAGCCCCTTGCTTTAAATGCTCAGGGCTACACTTAGATCCCAAATACCTTGGTGTAGTCCCAGCCACCTGGATTACCTTCTCTTTTTTTTTTCTTTTTTTTTTTTAACTTTTCTCTTTTATTGAAAATAAATTCTTTTCTCACATAATATAACCTGATTATAGTTTCTCCTCCCTCTACTTCTCCACCCCCCCACCTCCCCTCCCATCTGGATCTGCTCCCTTTCTGTCTCTCATTAGAAAATAACAGGCTTCTAAGAGATAAGAAAGCTAGACGACATGGTGGCACACATCTTTAATCCCAGCACTCAGGAGGCAGAAGCAGGCATATCTCTGTGAGTACGAGGCTAGTCTGGTCTACAAAGTGAGTTCCAGGACAACCAGAGCTGTTACACAGAAGGAAAAGAGCCCACGAGAAAGTACAAGAATCAGAGACCCACTTATTCCTATACCCAGGAACCCCATAAAAACACTAAACTGTATACTATACTCTATATGCAGAGGCCCTGGTGCAGACCTGTGCAGGCCCTGTGCATGCTGCCTCAGTCTCTGTGAGTTTGTATGAGTTTCTTCATGTTGCTTTAGCAGACCTTTCTCTCCTGGTGTCCTCCATCCCTCCTGGCTCTTACACTGTTTCCACCTCCTCTTCTGTGAAGTTCCCTGAGCTCTAAGGGGAAGGATTTGGTGGAGACATCCCATTTAGAGCTGTGTTCCAATGTCTCTCCCTCTCTGCATAATGTCTGCCTGTGGGTCTCTGTGTTTGTCCCCATCTCCAGGTTGAAGCTTCTCTGATGACTGAGCAAGGCACTGATGTAAGTACGGTAGTGTATAGTGGAGCATCATTAGGACTCATTTTATCACTGTTTTTAGACCGATATTATTTTGTTCTACCCTAGGTCCCTAGACTATCTAGTCTCTGGTTCTTGGTTACCTTAGCAGTGTCAGGCATGGGTTCTGTCTTGTGGCGTGGGCCTTAAGTCAAATCAGTTATGGGTTGGTCACTCCCACAAGCTTTGTGCCACCTCTGCCCTAGTATATCTTGCATGCAGGACACCATTGTCGATCAAAGGGTTTGTGGCTGGCTTGGTGTTTACATTTCTCTTTTGGTAGCCTACAGAGTACCTTCCTGTACCAAAGAAGCTAGACCATAGGGGTGAAGGCTCTGTGTAGACACCAGCTCCACTTCTCCATCTTCACTGAGTTGTGTAGGTGTTGTCTTCAGCATTGGGGCCTTGCTGTCAGCGTGTGGGGAGAAATCTACTGTCTCGGCAACAGCATGGTTCTTTTGGGATTCCCATGGGACCCCTTTGGCCAACAACTCAATTATATGTAGCCCAATCCTTGTGCTAGAAACTTCACTGTGTGACAAGAGATGGCCAGCTGGGACTCTGTCTCCCCCATGATTTGGTGATTTCATTTAGATCACTTCATATATGTATATATTTTAGGATATTTCTAATATTTTAGGCTTTCATACCACCCCTCAAGTGTCCCTTGCTTTTAGCTGTCTCTCCCTGTATTCTCTCCCCCTTCCCACTTAATTCTCCCATTCCATGTCTCCATCCATCCATAATTATTCTATTTCCCTTTTCTAAAGAGATCTGTCTGTACCTTTTAGCCTCTTACTCTATACCTACCCTCTGTGGGTCTATGGATTGTAGCTTTGTTATCATTGATTTAACAACTAATATCCTCATGTAAATAAATACATGCCATATTTATCTTTCTGGGTCTGGAATACCTCACTCAGGAATAAAGAAAGACCTTCAATTGGCTATAAACTGTATCTGAGTAGTCATTTCTGATGGGTTCCCCATAGCAAGTGCTTTGGAAATGGGGTATAAAATAAGGTTAGAAAAATAAAAGTTTAATGGGGCTAGAATCAAGTCTAAAAGCACCTTATTAATAGATGCTTTATTCCTCATCACACCACTTAGTAAGGGCTTCTTGCCTCTGAGGCCCCTGTCCTGGACAGACCAAGCGTCCAATGGCTTGTATCCTGAAGCAGATGGCACTGTGTTCTGAGGCTCTCCTCTGCTGGGCACCTTGCCTCCATCTGGGGCTGCTGGATAATTCAGAAGATGATGCCAGTGGTGATGAGGTTTTGTTATGAGCCCCCACACCAAGCAGGCAGGGTAAACAGAAAACCCCAAAAGTCAGTCCCAGCACCTCAAATCATCTACACAGGAGAAAAGATAACTTGGTCAGAAGAAAAGGCTAACCAAAGTACCAGATAGTGATGGAGCCTGGCAAATATGAAGACCTCGGGCTGGAGAAATGGCAGTGGATAAAGAACCTCCTGGGTAAGCATGGGGACCTGAGTTCAAGCAGAGTGCCCATTTAAGAGCCAGGTACAGCTGCATGTCTAAAACCAAGTGCTGCTGAGGCAGAAATGGACAGATCCCTGAAGCTCACTGGCCAGCCAGCCAAGTCACTAAGCTCAGGGTTCAGAGAGAGATTCTGTCTCAAAAAAGGAAATGGAAAGTGACTGAGGAAGACACCCACTGCAGACCTCTGGCACCTAAGCAAATGTACACACACATGAACACACACACACATGAACACACACACATGAACACACACACACACACACACACACACACACACACACACACACACACACACACACACACACACACAGAGGCCATGAAAGATCCTAGCCCTTCAGGCTTACACCCCCAAGCCTCAGGAAAAGAGAAACTTCAAGCACCAGGAAATGAGAAACTAAAAATCTAGTTCCAAGGGCAACCTGACTCAGCCACTACTCAATCACCCCTGCCAAAATGTAACAATGTAAAAAGATTTCTGTTAAGAGATGTGCTGAACTGTGACTGGGATAGTTGCAGGTGTTCCAGGAAGGACCACTGTGACCTTTGTGTAAACTCCACTCCTGCTCTGATACCCACCTTGAGGTTTCAGGAAGAATGTACATGCGGATGTGACTGTACCCACTCTGTGACCAGGCCATGAAATTGTATGGAAATTGTAATCTTGTGGGTTTTGTGGGGTTTTCCTTTATAAGCTCTTATGGGGCTGCAGTAAGACTCGGCTCTTGCTCTCAGGACAAGAGTTTGCCCTTCTGTACAGAAGCTTAATAAATCCTCGTGCTGTTGCATCAACTGGACTGGAGTCTGGGTTCTTGGGGCGCCCACTTGAGACCCCCCAGATTTTGGGGTCCAGCATGCCACACACAAATAAAAATAGCCAAGGGTCCTAAGCTTAAAAAAGAAATAGAGAGACAGAGGTAATTTCTAGACTAAGATATAGAGGCTTGGCATTTAAGTCTCAGCCGTTTGTGCTTCCACAGCTGCGAACGCTCTACTTAGTGCTGTCTCCCATTTTAAACTGAGTTATTTGTTTTCTTGACGTCCAGTTTTGCTCATCCTTTTCATTGTTTTATGTATTAATCCTCTATTGGGTATGTGATCTTCTCCCATTTGTAGCCTGCTGCTTTGCCAGAGTGAAAGTGTCCTTGGCCATACAGAAGCTTTTCATTTTCATGAGGACCCACTTACTAATTGTTGTTCTTAGTGCCTGTGCTGTTGGTGTTCTGTTCACAACGGGGCAATGTGCAGAGAGTGGCAGACTTTGGAACAACCAGTCCTAAATAAGATGTTTTCATCAAAAGCACCAAGGCTCAGGAAGCTGTTCAAAAGAGAAAGCAGAGTGGTGGATGACTCCAAGTAAACAGTATCTTACAGACACAACAGAACTGATACACAGATGAATTCACAGAGAGCCTGCACAGGTTAAAGCCAGATGGGGTCTCAGTGCTGAGAAGGGTAAGTGGTCATGGGTTCCACTCATAACCAAGAAGCTCTTAAAGGGACCAGGGTCAGTTTTTCCCCCCAGGGGCCAGTTTGCTAAGACCTCTGCCCCATATTACCCCACCATCCTAAGTTGACTCATGTCTGGTTTCAACCAGACCCTTAGGAAGTATGCCCAGTCTGGTAGGCAATCAGGGTCCTGCCAAGCCACAAGCAGGAATTGTTCTTGCTATCTTCAGTCAAACAGACCCGACACTGCAACTGCAGTTGCCGATCAGATGCCATGAGCCAATCATAAAGTGATTCCTGTACCAGTAAGGGTCTATACCCAATCACTTCAAAGTACACTTAACCACAGCTGGAATTCCCCTAAATAAGCTTAAAAGGGATTGCCTTACCTTTCCCCATGGTCAACACCACTTTGGGTGGACCCCAGCATGCTGGTTTTTCTGTCTCGAGAATAAAGCTGCTTTCTGTAATTGCAAATTGGATGTCTTCTGGTTATTTGGACCAATCTAAGGACCCTATTCTCTCTGTAATTGATACCCACTGACAAAGGAAACCTGAGTTTTCTCCAGTGGAATCTCACTGGCTATTTTAACTACGCCTCAGAGCAGGTCCCATGGCCAACACAAAACAAATTCAATGGTAATTCTGTAGACCTTTTTTTCATTTGGCTTTGCTTGGGTAGTTTGTTTTCATCTTATTGGTCTTTGCTTATTTCTTTTTATTTCTACTTTTGTGTTTTTGTGCATTTATTTTTTCTTGTTTGTGTTGATAGACAGAGAGAGACTATAAAGTTGGATGGGTAGGAAGGTGAGGAGGATCTTGGAGGAATTGGAGGAGGGTGAAATCATGGTTGAAATATGTTGTCTGAAAAAAAATTAGTAAAAAACAAGGTTGAGGCTGGAGATTGAGTTCAACCATGTCAATCAATCATACCAGCTTCAATCAATCATAATTTCTTCAGTCAATCATACTTTTTTCAGTCAGTCACACTTCCTTCAATCAGTCATACCAACACAATGAAGCCTCTGGGGAAGACTGAACACCAAGTTCCAGTGAGCTTCCTAGGTAGTGGTCTACATTAACACATAATCGAAATGCACCCTCAGGACATGGGGTTTTATGTTTGGGACCCTCCAATACTTTGTCCCTATTATGTGTCTCTTCACTTGACTGGCCCTGATGCCTGTCCGTTACCATAGAAACAGAATGACAGACTGCTTTCTGGAGTTCAGCAATCTATGCTAGCGAATCAGATCTGAGGGTAGAATAGGAGCTACACACTGTTGAGTGACTTGTGAGAGGAGAAAGTGGCTGGGAAAATTGCAGAGCTCTTAAAGCTGCTGTCTAAAGTGGAAAATTCTTTTATTTTTATTAGTATATAGTCCTTGTACAATGGGTTTGTTAAGACATTTGCATGCATGTGTATCATGTACCTTAAACATATTCAATCCTCTGTTGGGCTCTCCTGCCCCCCTCCTCTAAAGTGGGGAATTCTGGTGGAGGATTTCTCACAGTCTATGGAAACTAGAGTAACACTGTATCACTAGAGTCAGGACCCCATTACAGCTATGCCTGCAACAAGCTTAGCTTCACCATAAAAGGCTGTGGGAGGCACAATTCCCTAACACAGTGGTGGAGGCGCTGCTGATATTGTTCCATGCCCAGAGAGCAGGTATTTGGGAGTCAAAACCATGATTGATAGAATTCTCAGACGGTTTCAAGGTTCCTGACCCCTTGGATACAAATGCTGTATAATTGTCTTGAAGTTTTATGGGATACCTTGGCAACCCAGGGTCCCCCCCCTTATTCTTAGTTATACGCAAAATCCTTTCCAAACAAAGCAACCAGTTCTCTCTGTCCTAATATCTTTCTAGCAGCTCCCCTTCTGTGCTCAAACACGTCCCGAAACAAAATCTGGAACTAGAAGCAGTGAGCTGATCCAGTCTGCACAGGCAGGAAAGTAACTTGTGTCCCCAGAATGAACTTTTAGGTATAATCCCCTCTTTCACACCCTAGGCTTATGCATGATTGGGCATGCATATGATTAAAATCAAAAGCATACATAGTGAATGTATAACCAAAGCCTGTAAAGGAGTTTATCAGAGGAAAAAAAAAAAAAAAAAAAAACACTGTTGCCCCTAGCAACCACTCCTCCTCCTCCAGGAGCCATAAAGGAACTAAAGTTTATTTAAAAAAAAATAACTTTAGTCGTCTTCTCCACGCACGTGTCTCTCCCACAGGCCTGCGCACTCTGTCCCTTTAACTCTAATAAACTCTTATAAGCGGATTCTGTCGTGTTTCGTGACGTTTCCTTGCAGGGTAAGAACACAACGCAGCTAAATAACTAACATTTTAGTGCTGAAACCAAGCGGGCGCTCCCGGGCGCTTTGCGCCTGGCAGCCCGCGAACCAGGGAATCTGCTCCGTTCGCGACAGACCGCTCTCCATTCGCCTGAATCGCATCCAAATTGCATCCAACACCGCTTTCTTGGATTGGTGAGTCCCCCCATTTTCGGCCAACGTAAACGGCCTCCTGAACCTGTGAGAACGGGTTGATCGTCCGGCGCCTCACACGTGTTCTTGAGACCAGGGGAACCCCCGACCACGGTCTTCATTGGCTACGGTCAGCCCCTATCGCTGGCCTAACTTTTCTAGCCGTCTCCCACGTCTGCAGCCTGAGATATTTTTCGTGTTGGGGCCACCGTCGGGGTGCGCCCCAGAGAGCCACGTGAGGGTCGACGGGTTTGTTCCTCCCGACGGGGAGGCAAACGCTGTCCGGATTCTCAGAAATTCCACTCCCTCACCGTGGAGGAGGCCACTGCCTCCCGCTGACTAGCGGTGAAGCAGGTCGTGCCTGGTATCCGCCCTTGACCCTGGGGACGCCTGAGGTCTTGGCTCTGGATCACGTTTATTTTTTATTTTTTTTTATTATTTTTCTGCCTCTGCTGCAGACATGGGAAACAAGGCTTCCAACCCTGTTAGTCCTTCCTCTCCATTGGGCTGTCTTGTTGAAGCTTTAAAACCTCTCAGTTTAATGCCTTACATAAAGATTTCTAAGCTATCTCGTTTATGTTCAAAGAAGTGGCCAAAGTATGCTTTAGAGAATAACAAAAAGGGCCGCCAAGCGGCTCCTTGGATCCCGATATTTCACGGGAGCTATCCAATTACTGTCGGCGTTCAGGCAAATGGAAAGAGTTGCTTTCTTCTTTCTCAATGCTAAACCGTCTCTTCTCGTTTCCTTCTCTCCTGCTCATATGCTCCTAGCTATAC